CACCTGGTGGTGGGTGTTGCCTGGTCAGGTTTGCTTCATATTATATTTGCACTAGATATGACTAATTCTATAATATTCACTGTTGAGATGGAATGTTTCTGTAAGACCACCAACAGCTTGTTCAGTGGAATGTGTATCTATATGTATTTTTCTTACTAAAAGATACCAATTTCATTTATAAAGGACTGTCAATGATGGTCCTCATTGTTAAGCAGATGAGAATCTCAGCCCATACAGTTATTCCTACGGTTGGGAGCTATCTGCTGTTCAAAAGAGAGACTTTCAGACACCTGGTGCAGTGTCTCTGGTGTGTCATTTCTCCGAACTCTCCAATGTGTATCCCCCATTCGTTTCTAGTAGAGCACAGGAGCCCTTACTACTTCCAGTTCCCAATCACTGAAGTGGTGGACTATGGAGGTTTCCTCTAAAACTTTCTAGCTAATGTGTACCCACTCGGTGAGAAGAGCACTATAGTTGTTATAATCATTATAGTACTGAACAATGAACTGTAAAATAATATTTAGTATCCAAAATGCTGGATGTTTTTTGCCCAGGCAGACTGCACTTTCCCTAATCTTATGTATTCAAGGTGCTTCCCCCCTGGGTGTTGCCCAAGCAGACCTTGCTTGTTGATATATATATACCTTATGCAAAGCACTTCCACTGGATGTATCTACCCAGATGGACTGCACTTGGCATAATCTGATGTAACCCAAGGATCTTCCCTGGATGTTTTTGCTTTGGTGGACCACACTTGGCCAAATCCTATCTATCTAAGAAACTTCCCCTGGATGTGTTTTGCCCAGGCAAACCACACCTGGCCTATTCAGATATATTTCACAGTCCTTAAGCCCTACCTATGTATTGTTATTTCATTTTTTTGTCAAGCTCATTTACTGGCACCATATTATGACTTGATATCATTATATTCAGTACTATGTCCTGTTTCTTACAATAGCTCATTATGACATGGATGTGGACAGAGGGCTAGTTATGATGACCCTCATGATTGCACTCATTACAGTAATTTATATCTTTCAATGCTAAGAGGACAGACCATGCTCAAGATAGCTTTGGGTGAGAGGGGGTAAGTATCTGTCAGAAATACATTTACAAAGTAAGAAAATATAAACTTTTTGTAACTCTAGCTTCTATTGAACTACTCATTCATTTAGGCCACACACACATGTGCTTCTTCCAGTTGAAATTGTGGGACCAGTGGAACCTTCCTTGATTCTGTGCCTCTCTTCTTTTCTTGAGGATTTGTCTAGGTGGCTCAATCATGCCAACAGCACATTGGGCATCCCCTTCCTTTCCCTGACAGTATATCCATTTCTCCATAAGTGCCTATCTGTTGGGTTGGGGGGCGGCATCTCAGAGTGACCTTATGACTTTGAAGAAGTGGGTTACAGGAGAACATTTACTGCACATCAATGTCCTTGAAATTCTTGTCTGTCATTTTCCCATTTCCTCTCTCTTTTGAATCGGTTGGTCATGATTCATTCCAACAATTCCATAGTAATTTCTTATATCATCCATCAGGGGGGATACCTGTTCCAGAACTTTTTGCTTCCACACATTGGACCTGCTATTTTAAGCTTATTCCCATTGGGCTCATCTCAAAGCTTGTCATGTGCCCAGAGCTCTGCATTTAGTGGCAGAGCACCTGTCTCAGCCAGACAAGGTTCTAAACATGGAGTGGTCTCTCCGCTCTCAGGTTTTTCACTGGGTTTGCTCTCAGCTAAACATGCCCATCATCAATGCCTTTGCCACTCTCAACACCAAACTTCCTCTTTTTGTATCCCCAGTTCCTCGTTCTTTGGCCCTGGCAGTTCATGCTCTCAGCCAGGACTGGGCTCACATTTTCTATATGCCTATCCTATCCCTTTTCTCCCTTGTGTCCTTGCTTTGATCTGTGACACTCCTTGTTTAGTTCTGTTGGTAACACTTCTTTGGCTGGTCAAACCTTGATTTCCTCTGCTTTATCAATTGGTGTCTGGGCCCCCCCTCTTCCTCTGCCCCATTCTCACTCTTTCATATGTCAACAGAAGTGAATACTACCAAGTGTTTGTTGATATCACATGATCGTTAGCTTGCACTTGTTGCTGTGAAAGTAAATAAATATATACGTAGCCCGTATTCCCTGGTACAAACAGTAGTGAAGTTAGTTTAGACACACCTGGCTCCTGAGTTTTTGGGCTGGCTCTTAGATCTGAAAATATTTTTAGAGGCCCCGACTAAACAGTTAACAGTTCATGTCTAGTTTTGTTGATTTCTTAACTTATAGTTGTTTGAAGGTTTGTACATTATAAGGCATTTAGTTTTTTTTCAGTATATATGTATCAGTAGCTTTTCAGTTACCACACCAAAATATATAAAGCATCCTTAATTGTGTAAACTTTAGGAGAATATTTAGAATTTTTGTTGGGTTGAAAATGATGTTCAACTTTTCATATGGTGTAGTAACTGCCTTTCAGTTTCGTAAAGTGTTATTTTTTCTCTATCTGTCTAAATAGGCTAAGATCTTCAGCTTCTCCCAGTAGTATACAATATGCAATTGATTAGTATTTATGGTTTTCTACCCAATGACATACTACACAGAAGAATTGATTACTAAGAAACAGAGCTGCATCCACACAACCGTATTTCAATAGCATGGTTATTATGCATTTAATGAATTAATGGATACTTTGTGAAAAATTTTTTTATGGTGTGTTTGTGACTTTTGGTTAAACCTTAATTCTCTAAGGCTTCACTGTGTCTTTTTAAAGGAAGTGAATACTTTAGAATAAATGTTTATTTATTTAACCTTACAAAAAAAGAACTGATAAATGTAGTAAGTATGGTTTGAGCAATCAATATGTAGATACATATATATATATACTTCAGTAAACTAAAATTTATTTTGAAATATGAGGTAGTCATCAGAGGTCTCATTAATGAAATGATACAAGTATCTATGAACAACATTAAAGATGACTAGTAGTCAAAAAAGAATATCACAGCTAAGTTGGATAAAAAAGGTGTAGTATTAAAGTACTTAATCATTTTGACATTATTTCATTGTATTACACATATTCTAAGTTTAAAACAAACCATGCTTAACTATTGGAATAAGAAAATATAATAGAAGTTGTAAGCCTGCTCAAATATACTAACTTTTCAGAAGTCACAGTGCAAAATAAACAGAAATAGATGTTTTATAAGCTGTGAAAACAGATATACTGTTGTGGTAACATAAATCATCACATGACTCATTAATAAAATAATGATCTCCACTGGCCAAAAAAATATGTAATGGCCAAGTGAGAAAAAATAATGGTTTAAAATTAAGTCACTTAATCTATTTGTTTGATATTTTGATGTATTTTTGATTTTTGTATGTATTCATATATTTTATTTTCATAACTTTTGTTAAATTATATTTCTGTAATTGATTTACTGATATGAATTCTGTTGCTTTTTATTGGTTTGTTATTTCTTTAAAAAATATATTTTATTTCAAAAATTTTGTAATTATGTTTTAAAACTAGTGAAGTGTCTAAAGACTATATGCATATGACACTTCTAATTTCACTTTTCTCATCCTGCTTGGAATAGGTAGATTTGTTTTTGGTTTAGATCGGATTAAAAGAAATTGTGGTAATCTTATTGATTTTTAATACAGTAATAATATTCTAAGTTATTAAAGTAAATCACTGACAATATTTATTTGGCTCCTTTTGTTGGTTTGATAACTAATAGTATTTGATATTTCAAACGAAATGTTTTTCTTTGGTCATAGCTTCAAACTGTTGCAGCTTAACACATTTTTCAAATGCATGCATACAAGTGTGTCTTTCATGCTATTCTAAATACAGTGTCTGTTTAGATTTTATTCTGGTATGCTGCTAGTTTGTAGGTATTTTATACTAAGTTGCTGAAATATTATCTATCATGATATGCTTGTTTTTTCACATGTATGTTCTCTGTTGGTAATGTGTCCTTTACTTTAGCACTTGAACACTTTTGAATGAAAAAGAAAAACAACTAAACAAAGTATATGCTATGTTTCAAATTTCTGAGTTTCATCTATGTATCGGATACATGCACAAGGTAATAATTATAGATTTGCATTGTTAAATCTTCAGTAACAATGTGGGTGCAACAACAAGCATTTGAGACTATCAAATGATCTCACCATCAAGTTATAGCATTTAAAAATTTATTACCATATCATTATACAACCAAATACTATCTCAAAAAACATATTAAAAATATGAATGTTTATCAGGCTTTGAAATTAGCAACAATCTTTAAAGATCCATAGAAATTTATTTCAGATTATTTATTGTTTTTTGAATCTACTTAAATAAATAATGGGACTTTCTTGCTTTGTCTCAACAAATTCTCTAATTTTTTGTCTGATTTCTGACTGCTTTACCTTTCATGTCAAACTCAAACAGATGATTAGCTTAGGTAAGATTAATAAATGTTGAATTGAATCCATTGAGTATCCAATTTTATTATCTGAGAGTGAATTGTCTGAATTCCTTGAAAAGAAGAAATAGACTAATAGAAGAGATTGATAGAAAATAATTGTTGTTGTTTTTTTCTAGAAAACTTTTAGTGATGCTTATGGAGGGTTCTGTAAATATGAGTATTTTCAACCAATTTAAGAAATATAGTTTTGAATTATGATTAAATTTGTCAGTTTAATTGACTATGACATTCCATTATGAACTTTAAACTTTCTAGTTTGCCAAATTAAGTCTGATGATATATAGTAATTTTCATTGATCTGTTTCAGTAATTTTGTAAGTACAAATTTTTGAAAGTGTAGTTATCTCACTGTCAGACTATTGCACATTGATCTTAATCACACTAAAACATGTTTCAAGTTTTATGATTATATTTCTATTTGAGTTTTTCTATACATCTCTTCATTAAGTTGATATTGTATATTATAACCAGTATTTTTTGGATTTGTACTGTGATTAACATTCACTTGCATAACTTAGCATGAAGATGCAGTATGTCTTGCCAATTTCTGTGACATTATGCGATGTGAAGTCCTACAAGCCAGAATGCTGAAGAAAAAACATGATTGGCACATGCAAGAACTTGCCAAAGACAAGGACCATCATCCTCACAAAGTTATTCCTACTAAAGAAAACAACCTTGCAGAAACCAGAAAACACAAAGACTGTGATAGAGAACAGTTAATTCGGCTTCAGCACAAATGCAGAGTGAGTAATTTTATTAATATTTCTTAGAAATTACTTTGCCTGTGCTCTTTCTTGTTTATATTTATTTTTGTATATCTATAAATAATTATCTTTAGTGAATCTGTTGTAAACCTGTTGTTAAATATACTTATAATACTGAACTTAAACAGTGTTGTTACTTGAACACTATGAGTATTTAATATTTTCTACAGAAAATTAAGAAAGTTTAAATGCTTCTTTCCAATATTCATCAGTGTCACAATAAAATGCATAAGAATATCCATGACAAGTCAAACAATGTACAAAATAGAAGAGCTAGTGTTCAAGACCTTATAAATTTTGTAATTGCAGAGTATAACTTGGTAATCAGTGGTATTTTTAAATTAATTAATTAATTGCCAGGCCCATTATTCAATTATATTCTAGTTAGTAGGGCGTTTTTCAAACTATGGTACACATTCCCTTCTATTAACAAAAAAATTGGAGTTGGAAGTGGATGCTGTCAGCCTTGTCAGCAGTTCAAAATTAGTGACAGTGACAGATAGTCTTTGTAATTTTGTCATAACAAACACAAGGTAAGCTAGTTTGTAAGTTTATTGCCAATAGGAACTGAACCCAAGACCCTCAGAATTATCAAAGCTGAACAAACTTGAAGTAAAATGAAACAACAATTTATAAGGCTTTAATTGGGCAAATTACAGATAGCCCATTATGTAGCTTTGTGCTTAACAGCAAAAAACATTATAGCAATATTTCAATTACTTAGAGAGTTGGAATAATCAAAAATAGTAATAATTTGAAACCCTAATTTGGATTAATTGATTATGAGTGTGACAAACAATTTAATAATAATGTTGATTAATTGATTATTGTAATAATCAAAAGCAGTTATAATTAGGCGTGATCATTTTTGTTAATATTATTTTCAGTTAATCAATTAGTTTACATGACACTGATGTAATTGCTGCTCAATGGTAATCCATCATATTGATTAAATTACCTAGCTCTCTGTCTCAAAGGAGGTTTCAAATATGGTTTAAAATATTAAATTTATAACCTGTTCTGTAATATTCACTGCAGTCAACAAGATAGAAACTTTCATAGTATATTACATATGTATTTTAGCAAAGTCATGAATCTTCATAACTTCAGATGACAAACTCTAATTGCCAGAAAACAACATGTTAACTCATGTGATTAAAATAATCCTGATTCCTTTTCAGGTTTCCTTGTAAAGAGTTTAGATAACCTCGTAGGGCAAAATCTAAACTTCAAGTTAAACTTGCTATTTCTGTAACATAGTTAATTTGGGCTATAGGAGATGACATCACTCATGACATCCTCTAGTTAGTGATGAGATCATAAAGTACCATTGCATTTTCCCACCATTAATCAAGGTTGGTGAGGGAAGTGTTGCATGTTAGCTATGTTAATCAAGGTTTTGTGATTCAGTGGCTTGCAGTATTTATTATTGTTACCTCAAATTCTCTAACTTTATACAACTGAAATTAAGAAATTTGTAACCTTCTCAGAATAAATACAAGGATCTGAACCTCTTCAGATTGATGTTTAGAAGGTTCTGTGAATAATTGAAGCAAGGAAATGTCAGAGTGAAATGAAAATTTAGAAAAAACAAAGCCATTTCATAAGTGATGGACATATATCAGCAGGTGATTATTACCAACTGTTGATCTTAATTCAGGGAGATTAAATAACAAACAAGACTGTTCAAATTAGGTGTGTTTCTTTTGAAAACAATTTGGGTAACCTTCTGGAAAGCTCAAACATTTTGTCTTACATAGTTCCATAAACTCTCATACTTTCACAATATGAAATATGTAAAGATGTAAATACTTAATAAAACATAGATGCTTGTTGACATATAGATGTAGTTAATCCTCTTACTTTCAACAAAAATAACTATTTATATGCAAGTTAGTTATATATACTTTTATAACAACATGTCATTTTTAAAGCATATTTCTTTAACCTAATTTTTATGAGTATTTATTTCATATGTGAAACTGATGAAGTATGTTCATAACCACACTCACACACATGCACATATATATTTGTAAAATACAGTGGAATGTTTGGAAGGACAGACATGGATATTTGGAGATACAAAAAATGTATAAAAAACACATTTAAGTTACTGAATGTTCAAGAAAGTCTTTATAAAATATACAGCCTGAAATATAACAAATATGCTGCCTTGTATGTTCTATGAAATACCAAATTTTAGTTCTAACAGACTTTAGGTTATTGAAAGTAAAAAAATATATATCAGAAAGGATTCTCATTTAAACCTAGGTTATGGTTCTGAGATATACTGAGTCATGATCTCAGGAAACTATATAAACTTTCTTAACAAGGTTTATCAGAAAGTTATTTAGCATATAGCTTGTATGATTTTTAATGCTTAGATCATCCAAAGATTACAGTAGGTCATTGGATGTTTCTAATTTTCTTGTACAAGTATCAGTGCACTACTTGGATCATATCCTTGATATCTGTTTTCTACATATTGATGATTAGTATATCTTCTGATTTTTCACCATATGTATGAATTTAAGAACCAGTCTCATAATAGAAAGTCATTTACTTTATTGCTGTTTCAAGTTATCTGTTTTTACAGCAAACATTACTTGTGGAAATTTAAATATAAATATTTTTGCCTATAAATCAGCCTAATGAAATCCTGAAAGAATCTAAGTTACCAGCACATGCTCCTCTATGCAGCTCAGTCCAAATTTACTTCTTGATTGGCACTCATAGTGTTTTTCGTTAGTACTTTCCTCTACAGAATTTTCAGTCAGTTCCTTGTTTTTCTTTACATTTGCTACACTTGTCTTTTATTCTAATACATGATTATTTGGAGCTTCCTGTTTGGACTTTTCTTCTTCCACCATTTGTTGAAATGAATTCTGAGTTTCATGTTACAACTACTACCACTGCTGTTCCTACTACAATTAACCTTACTTCAACTATGGTGGCTTTGGGTCCACAATTGTTGCAGAAGATTTTATAGCCTTGGTTTGCTGGGAGTTTGCTACCTTCATGCAGGCTCCTGATTCACCTTAGGATTATCCTCTCATGCCTTGTTCCGGGGTACTTGAACAAGAGGACGAAGATTTCAACAGCCTGTTTTCTCCCCCTTCTTATGACACACACTGATGTTTAGCTCCAGTGGAAGCACCCAGATCTCTTTCTCCTTTCCTGGATAAACCAGGTATGTTACATTTTGTTTTTGCCCCATTTGTTTCAACTTCCTTCTTAACCTTTTCCCATGTCTTGTCCCCTTCCTTCCTCTCCTTCGCTAGTGCCAGCTATACGGGTCTCCAAGATTAACTATCGGTTTGTTTGTCAATGGCTTCAATGCCCCCAGCAGTCCCGGTGACTATGTGGTGGGTACAGGTCTGATTTGGGCCAGGCATTTGTACTTTGCTACCACTTGGGAATCCTTCACCACTGACTCTTGGGTTCTGCAGGCTCTTTCTGAAGGGCTTGTGCTTTGTTTAAGTTCTCCTTCTGCCCTGTTCCCTCATCCCATATCCTTCCCCTCTCCTTGGGATCCAATTTCCAGCCAGTGTCTTTCTGAGCCTGTTCTAGACCTTCTTCACAAGAGTGCTATAGAACAGGTTTCTCTTCCCACTTGTTTGTAGTCCATAAGAAGGGGCTCATCTAGGTACTGTTACACCTGTCCCTCCACCAGGTCAGTGTGGGATTCTAGCTATTCTGTGAGAAAAGGTAAGATATTGTATTGGAGGTTAATATTTTCCAGCACTGAAAATGTATTTCTGATAGATTCTTACCTCTACTCACATTTCCCACCCTTCCCCACTTTCAGTGTTTTTTCCTTTTCTGTTGCTCATTCTTGAAATGAACTTGGATTAACCAACATAGAGGGAGTTAATTGTGCTAGGAGTTGTGTCACACTCCTATTGGTGGATGGTTGTCACATGGTCATTTGCATGTTACCATGCAGCTGCCACATGTGAGGGTAGGTAAGAGTAGTAAGGCTAGTGGTGAGCAAATATTTTTGCATATAGAGGGCAGTAAAGTTAGGAAAAGAGAAGGTAAGAATCTATTGGAAATATTTTCAGTGAAGTAAAATGTTAACTTTCATTTTTCTAAATTTTTACCTTTTCTGTATTACTGAATCCAAAACTCACTTTTGCCACCGATTGCTTGGCCAGTACTTATGAAGGAACATATATAGTTGTTGGAAGAAAATAAAAACATTTATTAACAAGCTTCTTTTTTTTTTCCAACAATAACCTTTCTAATAGACCTGCTTTTTTCGAATTTCTCTAAAGACTACCCTTCATAAAGGTGCTCAAACCACTTTCATTTTGAAACTCAAACTTTTTTATACATAATGCATAGACATGTAGTAGCTTTTATACAACTAAATACCTAATAAAAAGAAAATTATAACATTATTTTGGATCACATATGAATCATTATTTTATTTGTTTGTTTATTCAATGTATATGCATTTCTCACTATTTTGTATACTATGTGCAGTATTTAAAAATCACAACATTCATTCAGTTATACTTTATACTTTTTATGATATTTACTTCAAAATAAGATAACGTATACAAAGCAGATAACCTTAAACTTGTAGCATGTATGTCTTACTTAGAAATTGAACTTATTTTATTAGTAATTCTTGAAACTGCACTACATTACTATAAAAATTATATTAGATCTAATTATTCATACTTTTACAATTTTCTCTACTAAGTTCCTTTCATTCTGCTTATGTTAATGTTTTTCTTTTGATAGAGTAATTATTTTCCAATTGTCAAAATGAAAAAAAATCTGGAATAATCACATGAAGAATGTTTCATAACTTATGCTTTTTTAATTTAAAATGATGTATTATTGTCTTTTTTTTGTAACATAATATAATTATGTTCTGCATCACAGTTAGTAGCTGTAATAAGTTCTTAGTTAATCAAGTAATATGGTTTATTTAAAAATTGGGAAATATTGCTCTAGAGACTCAGTTA